GCCCATCGTGGTATTCAGCTTTCGATTTCAATGCTAAAGTGTTCTAGGTTTTCTCCTAGCGCCTCTAATTGTCGGAAAATTCTTTCCATTTTTTCTACTGTTTCAATTCGCGGGTGATGCTGGCGACTCACCTGTATTTCTATCGCCAAGGGACTCCCTGACCCCCTGCCATATTGCCCAATTGCGACAAACCAGTGGAGCGAGTTTAACCAGCAATGGTGAGGACTCTTAAAAAAAACTTTTTTTTCAATCTGTTTCAATCCATTTTTTTTCACTTCATTTGATAGATTGTAGTTCATTGTATAGTAATTTAACAATAGTCGATGAGTCGCCATATTTCTCGGAGCAGCATTTTTCGTACGATTTCATAATTTTCTGGGGCTGTGTCATAACTCCTTATGGCTTGCAATGGTGTTCCTTTTAGCCAGGAAATTAAGTAGTTCAATTTTTGAATTTCTGGGATAGCTTGAGAGTGAACAGCGGCATTGAAACTGCTGCAGAATTCTCTCCATTGTCGTCCACTAAAAGTAAGCAAGAACAATTGAAGGAGAATAACATTTATTTGGGTAAGCAATTTCCTTTTAGATGGCATTTGGATCGAGATTAATATCAATTTCTCCATTTCATCACCTTTTTATACATAATCAACATGATGATTGCTTTCGTTCGCTTCATATATCAACTTGAAGATTCCTCTTTTCCTTTTGGTTACTTTGTATTTTTCTTCCTTCTCCTTTCCTCTTATCACATTAAGAGATATCTGTATGTATACATTCATTTATCATTCGTTGATTCGAATGACTTGATGCACATTTGCAATCACTAGATTTTTTTCTCCGAAGAGTCCTCTTTTGGTTTCGCACAATTGAAGTCGTTCCTTTGTTAAAGTTGGTTCCGGAAGTTTGATGTTTAATGCCGTTACTTCATGAAGGAGTCTTTCCAATCTCTCCTTTACAGGTTTAATACTTTCTATTATTGTGGAGATCATGAAGTGGCCTCACCTCGAGCACCAAAAATTTTTTTTATATACAAAATGCCAGATGTAAGCTTATTTATGATTTTAAGCATGGGAAAACTCTTATTATTTCGGTTTTTTTCGACAGGAGTATCATATGTGTCGGAGGACGTGGATGCCATGTCAAGAACATAACTCTTTCACCACAGAATAACTTGGGGAGAGAGTTACAGGTGGGTCCTCAGCAGCCACTCGAATTTTTGAACAAGTCTACTCCTGTCGATGCATAATATTATTTTGTAATATTATATGCATATATATATATTATATTTGTGAAATTACCATTAAAACAAAAGTCCACATTGATTCGTTCGATTTTGCTATATGGTTCTGAGATATGGCCAATGAGAGTGGAGAATATTAAGAAGCTATCTGCCTTTGACCACTCTTGTCTAAAGTATATTTTACGGGTTTGTCGAGCGGATAAAATTTCATATGATCGCATTCATTTTCGTTCAAATACCACTTAATAATATTATCACAGAGCGTTGCCCGTTCTCCATCGTCAACCACAAGAGTTGTCGCATATTTCGTTACTTGATGAACCATGTGATGGATGGCGTCAGAAGCGAGGTGGGCCAATCAAGAGCTAATAGGATCAGGAAAGATTTTGAACATATAGGTGGACCAGCAATATATGGACTTAGACGATGGAAAAAGGAATGGCTTCTATTACTGTCGACGATGGCATCAAACCGCGCCGCTTCGAAGCGTCTTACCCTTGTAGTCGTTTGGAATCAGCCTAACCAGTAATGGTGAGAGCTGTTAGAAGAAGATGGAAGAAAAATTTAAAAAATTAGACAATTAAAAAAAAATCAAATTTAAGAAGAGAAACAGAAAGAAACCTGTGAGGAACCTCGGTTGTTCAATTCATCCCTCTCTCTTAACTCGCTATAATCCCTCAGCATTTCTCTTTATTTTTTTGTGCTTTGCTTCACTTATAATGACCTTCACAATGACCTTCCTTTCTCATTTTAATGAATGGCTTTTTTTGTAACTTGGAGTCTGTGAAATAATTTTTTAAGTTATATTATGCTCGTTTGACCTTTATCAAGTGAAACCATGACCGCGATAATATGTAGAAACTCGCGGTGTTTTGGGATTTAAATCAACTAGGTAAAATAAGAATTAATATTTTTACTTGCTGACATGTTCGTATTAACAGTTAGCAGTTTTCTAATATTAACATTAGATTTCTGACGTCCATGGTGATTCCAAATGAAATATCAAAACAAGGAATATGAAAACCGATTTTTTAAACTGATAATCTAAGCCATGGAGCGGAAATCATCCGTAAACCAAATAATTATGTTGAATTAAGAAGGCAAGGAAATTTTTATTTTCACTCGCACTTTCTTTTTTGCATTTATCATTCATTTTTCATTAAATGATTGATTGTTGACCAATGTTTTTGCCTGCAAACATTTTAAATGATGTTTTGCAGAGAATCTTGTTTTGATCTCTATTGATCAATTTGAAAATCAGTTCCATATCTCGGCAGCTTTTTCCCCTTATCAACCAAATAATAATTAGAGGTGGAGATAGAATTGGGTCTGGACAGGGATGGGGAGACTATCTGTGACTGTGAGAGATGTTCTCTAATAGATGTGAGTAGAACCAGCCCAGCCAGTGATAGTGAATGCTGATAAAAAAGGAGAATGAAAAAAACATTGGTAAAGAGTGGGCAAAATTCTAGACATGTGAAATTTTCTGACGAAATTTCATGCAACGAAATTTTTGTAAAATTTCCGTGGCTTGATTTTCTCATGTGGAAATAACTTATATTATTGGTTGTATTATCATAGTAGTATTATTACAGCAGTAGAAATAAGTATAATTACCAATGACTGTTGACCAGTTTTTCTGCAAACTTCATTTTTTTTCTTAAAATTATAAAAGGAATATTATATTTAGATATGGCGCATATTTATATAAAATTAAAGCTGTACTCGATCCAGGAACCGTTTTCATCGTTTGCAATATAATTTTGTTTGGATCGTATTATCTCGGAGTTTTAAGTCCACATTTAATGGCACTGCTGAATGCTCGAATAGCGGCTGCTATGATCTATAAGACAATTGATCGAGTGCGACTTTTTATATGTATTTATGTATATTTATATATATTTATATTAATATGTATTTATACATATAATATATATGCATAAAATCCTCTTTTCACTCCTTGTCGATGGTTTCGGTCAGCCTTAACCTCGGATCCTCTCCCAGAGGCCTGAGAGATGGGGGTGAGGCAAACTTTCAGAGGGTCATCCCTCTAACGACCTCAAAGGAAAAGTAGAGAGGATTGTCTGCGATCGGAATCATTGTTGTTACACTCCATGTTAATAGTTTGCCTTAATCATTATGTTATTTCGGCTATATAATCCATAAATATGAGGTAATAATCAAACGCTGAACGAAAAATAAAGTTGCTGGTTTCCTGAAACAAAAAAAATCCTTGAGATTAAAAATTCACAAATGATGAATATAATCTTTCAAGAAAAGATGGTATTTTGAGGTGCCTAAAATAGATTCTGCTTCCGAGAAAGGAGTGAGATTAATGGACGTAAAAGGCATTATTGAATTCGAAGATGTCCATTTTTCATATCCGACAAGAAAAGAACACCCAGTACTAAATGGTTTGTCGTGGGTTGCTAATCCAGGTGAAACAATTGCTCTTGTTGGGCACAGCGGCTGTGGAAAAAGCACATCGGTAAGTTTAGATTTAATGGTTGTATATTCCCATTGCAATTGCAATATAAGTCTTGATTTTCAATCCTCATAAATTATTTAATATCTAAAAAATATTAACCTTAGATTGGTTTATTGACACGTTTATACGAATGCGATTCGGGATCTATAATGATCGATGGAATTGATGTTCGCGAATTTAATATTCACTGGCTTCGAAATATAGTTGGTGTTGTGCAACAAGTTGGATATTTCTTCGATATTTTCCTAAACTAGCCTCTACTTTAATTACTCCCAGCCAAGCATTTCTTTCATATCTTTAACACGAGAGTCATTGAAATCCTCTTACTCGCGTTTTACGGTCATGATGGAGCGGAAATTAACATTTAACTTTTTCTACTAAATCTGGTCTCTAAATCTCCAAAACTTTCTGATTCATGACAGTGTTTTAAGGAGCCGCAATTATTTAATGGAACAATCAAAGAAAATATTCTTCTTGGGCAGCCTGATTTAGATGATAAGGATATAATTGCTGCCTGCAAAACTGCGAATGCTCACATATTTATCAAAAAATTTAGTGAGGTTCGTCTTACATATTGCAATCGACTATTACAGATTATAGATCTATATAGATCAAGTTTATGGCAAAATTTGTTACCATAAAATTCAAGGGATATAATACAAAAATTGGAGCCGGAGGTGTTCAACTTTCTGGCGGCCAAAAACAACGAATTGCAATTGCACGTACTATTCTTAGAAACCCTCGCATACTTTTATTAGATGAAGCAACAAGTGCACTTGATGTTGAAAGCGAAATTATCGTTCAGAATGCACTGAAAAAGGTCTCAATTAAATTGATATAATTGAACAATAATTTGAAGAATTCATTTGCTGACTTAATTAAATCAATTAACATTTAAATCTCAACGAATGGACTAAAACAATTGCTCCCAATGAAAAAATTGTTGCAAAAACTGAAAAATTCTCGAAATTAGAATTTCAAAAATAATTTAAGCAGTTAAAATATAAAATATAATGGATCTTACATAATAGAACAATAAAAAAATATTAAAAAACAATTTTAAGAAAATTAGAATAATTAGAAAATTATTTTAGAAAATTTGTTGTTAAAACTTAGGCATCGATTGGACGAACGACTATCGTTATCGCACATCGAATGTCAACATTGCGTGATTGTGATAAGATTATTGTTCTAGAATGCGGAAAAGTCGCTGAATCAGGTGGTTTTTTTTATCACTGAAATAATCATATGCTAAAATTTTAAGCCGTTCTCCTAATTCGATGAACAAATATTCAGTCTTTCGTTTGAATTTTATCTTCAAAGGGTAGGAATTGTCATATGGTTGCTTCAGTTTTAGTTCCCCTGCCATGACAAATGTGATCCTCTCATTAAATAATCTTACTGGTGCTATTTATCAGTAATCGTGTACTCCTTGGCAAAAATTTCTAACGGCACTTATGAGTTAGCCTGATTATGAACGCTGACCATTTAACATTCAACCTATAAGCAAATTTGGCAATTAACTCTTTGTTTATTTGAAAAACAACTAAACAAATGTACCTATAATGATAACAGCATGTATGCTCAATTAAATGGATTAATATAATAATAATATCGATATAAAAATAAAAAAGAATGTAAAACATTATGGAATTATAATAATATTATTTGCATGTGGTACCACGCTGAAAGACAATGATTTTGAAATTCTTGCTTGAAGGCCTAAAGTGAAACAATTAAATGATATTATTTAACCCTTTTTTAAAACATCGAGTACTTTATTCCATCAATAGTGCGAATGAAATACAAATAGCTTTCATAGTTAACACAGTGGATCTCGCTGGGAGTTAGCCAAAAATTGACGTACTCAAGCAGAGGCCGAACTACCGTTTTATTTATTTAAAGAAAATTTTAAAATTCCACTTTAAAATAGCTGAAGAATGACATTTAGATTTATTACTCTTAGCGCTCATCAGTACTCCTTAGAAAATTTAGAATTTTAATACTTTTAATGAATCCTTTACTATGATTCTGCAAGGGATTTCGTAATCAAGATTTTTTCACTCATTTTTATCAAGATTTGAAATATTTTTCACAAATCTTATTATTCTTATTACTAACATAAGTAATAAAGAACCGTAGAAGATCGGATCCTTTTGGTCCAAATAAATATTTGTGTCAGCTAAATTTTTGGATGGCGGGGATTATAATGACAGAGAATAGTTTCAAGGACAGCACAAGCAATTATGTGAGAAAGAAGGCGGAATATATGCAAATCTTGTTAAATCGCAACGATTCGAAGATGAGCCAACATCTCCAGATGTCAGACATGCTGATGATGAACATGTGATGCAAGCTTTCAGGTAGTTTTAAAAATTTTATGGTCATCTTCAACCGTATATTGATACATATATTGATACATTACAATATTTTAGAAATAGAGAGGTTTACATGTAATATCACAGTATTAAATGCCAAGGAGATCAATTGTACTTGGAGGACAACAATAATAAAAAGAAAATTAATGAACTAATAGTTTTTTTGATTTTCGTCGACTTACTTTCTTAATTATAATTATAATTATAACTAAAATTGTGGAACTGTTAAACTATGGCTAAGAATGTCATGGTTTGGTATACTTTTAATCTTGAAAATTGAGATTTAAAAATTCAAAAATTTATCTTCATGAGGGAATTTAGCTTGAGTAAGTGGTGATATAGTACGACTGAGCTAGAAAAGCTATGGATTTGATTCTCAGTCCTTGTAAGGACGAGTATAAGCATATCATTTAAAATAAAGTCCAGGTTACATTTTTGGCTCATCTCAAAGGGATTTTCAGATTGGAAGGCTTTCATTCAGTCTTTTAGTAAGCAGATTCATAAGGATGTTAAGGATGACTGCCTTTGGCAAAAACATAAGTTCATGGCATAAATTAAGTTCTTATATTCTCCTTTAATATTTCCAATTTAATTTGGGCACAAATAAGATCTTCAGTTTAAAAAGATTGCAAGAGAATTAAGTACACTCATTAAATACTTCCAGGCGTAGTCATTCAAACAGATCTTCGACTTCTTCGCTCATTAAAAGGCTTAGTATCGTTCAACGATCTTCAATCATTCATCGCAGTCGCCGGAAAGTAGATGAAATACTCAAACCAAATTCAAATTCAACTGAAAAAGTTGGTGTTGGTTTTTTTTTAGATGTAAAATGAGAGTTAGTCGCAAGAGATGGAAATAAAGAAGCAGTGACAATTAGTGAATTTCTTGAAACATCTGAAAACATAATATGGCCAAATTTTTGTTTCAGGAGAAAGGGCAAGGAGGATTGTTACAATTATATTCGAACTGTCAAGGCAATTATATAATTTTGGCAAGTGCTTCACTTGTGTCTGTAATCCGTGGGTTGGAACTACCTCTCTATGCTTATATATATAAAATGGCTTTTGCAAGTTTCGAGCAACGGAACCCAGATGAGATGATGCGGCAAATGATCAATGTTTTGGCAGCGTTTATAGCGGTTGGGGTAGGCTGTTGGATCCTAATTTGGGGAGCGGTTAGTCTATATTATTTCATTCATTTCTAAAATTGAAGTGTTTAAAGTCGAAGTTTTAGGAAAACTGGAAAGATGTTGATATGAGAGAACAAACTAAACTATTGAGCTTGTCACTGATTGTTTAAATTCTAAAAAATCGAATTCACTGTGTAAGTAAGTAAAGTTAGCTGACTAAATATTGAGATTGGCAATACTGGTAGACTTATTGAATGGGCGTTGGAGAATGATCATCGCTAGGATGTTCAAGGCTATTAATTTGTTGCAATTAAGTTGCATATCAGATGTATCTAAATAATTCAATTGGCCCTTTGCCTCTTATCATATTTTAGTGGTGATCCCTGATGCAGAATCCGATTCAAACATTATTTATTTAAAAGCAGATAACTATGAAATTTATTTCTTAGATGGTAAATTTTGCGACAAATTGTGCAGTTAGACTTTACAAAAAGCAATCATTTTCATCTTCCTCTTCTAACAATTCTCATCATCAGTGGTTAATTTAGCGTCGCTGACTGGAAAGATGAAGCATTTCCAATCCTTTTGATCTGTTGCCATGCTTCCCATCCCATTCTTCTACCCCTTATACCGCAAGACCGGTATTTTATGTATGCAGAATCTCTTATGAAGAAAATCTCGCAATCTTGATATTGGTCCTTATCATTCTTACCTCAAGCATCATAGGGCTTAGCAGATGGCGTGTGTTTATTTTTATAATCATAGCACAAATTATGACCTAACCAGCGCAGACAACGTTCTGTGATGTGATCATGTAGGATTTTATCTGTTTGGATGAGATGCGGCTCGAGTGCATGAATCATCAAAAATAGATAGCCTTTTCCATGTACTTCATCTGCAAGATCTTCAGCTGTGTTTCATCCCAAGTAATTGATTTCCTGGTGGTCCACGAAAATTTTGAATAATTGATTTAAATGAAAAGAGATAATTCTTGCTGCGTTCATCTGGGTCGAAATTTTGCCTTTCATTTGGTAAAAGTTTTAAATCTTAAATAATTAAAATCTTTTCTCAACAAAATCTCTCAAGCTAAGTATTTAGATGCAAGGTATCTAAAATATGGTAGTTCCTCAGCCAATAATGGGTTTGTAAAATTTGATATTTTAATTAGCCAATACATCTAATTTGTTATTGTAATTTATCCCCAAAAAATGGTTATGAAATATTTTTTATAGTTATTTCCTCAGAATCGAGTAGTCGAACCACATATATTTACAAATTATTTAATTATTGCGTAAGATCTCTAAATCAGTAATAAAGCAACAAAAAAATTTCTCCTGTCCTATATGTCCTTTCTTTCGCTCTTCCAGTTCATTGGTGCTGAAAACTCTTTAGATTTAGGAGATGCGATAGAAATCGGCACTTGAATAATAATTGGCTCTTTCGCAATCGAAATTCCTTTAGCATGGTAGAGTGGCCAATGCCAAATCTCTCCTTGTGGAAAACGAATAGGACAGTTTATGTGTTACTGCGTAAATAAATACAGTGAATAATAAAGGATTTAAAATATAGAATGGTAATAACAATAAAAATAGAGTGAAAAGTAAACATGCAAATAAATAGAATAGATAGAAGGGAATGAGGAAGGCTCCAATGCGATATGATCAAATAGAGATATTTAGAAAGGTATTCAGGAAGTTTAGCTCAAATTCGATCTTAATATATAATGTAATGTATATCAACCTGAATGATTTAAAATAGCGAAAAAAAGACAATATTTTACATACTATCACATAATATTACATAATATATCACACTTCTTCGGGTCATTCCCGACCTCTCACTGGCCAATTATGATTTAATCGAAATTATGGAAACGCAACTGCAATTGTACTATAGCGATATTGGCCGGTTGATCTTAATATGGTAATAATCTTAAATTTAATGTTTTCATAAGATTTGTTCCGTTAACTTGCATTTGTCTGCTTACAAATTGTGAAAGATGCATATAACAGAAATGAGCCACTTATAATTCCAAATTGAATTAGAATGAAACTATAAATTATCAAATTCTCATTTGTAAAAAGCCTTTTCAATATCTGCAATTAATAAAACTTTTATTGGCGTAGTCGTATGAGAACCAGTTGAAATAATAAAACTGAATAGGTTCTCAATAAGAGATATTCCCTTTCATTACGCTGCAGAGGCATCATATATGGTCCTCAATTTGACTCTTTTGTAAGACTAATAATCAGAAGATGGCATGTAATATATGAGATTTATGGTTCTGTAGAAGCGATTTTAATAATATTTAAAAAATCCATGAAAATCATCGAATGAAAATCAGTGGAACAAACTTAACGATTTCATAAAATGCCCTGAAAATCAATCGTCAAGATGATTTAATTAAGAACTATTTTAATATTATTTAATATTATTGAGCTTCGCTAACTGATTCATAATTATCACTTAGTAATCAATTTTTTAATAGGCAATGAGACGAGTAGACCATGTGCGTGAGTATGATCCATGCGTGAGTATGCAGCTTAGGAAAGGATCTATTCCACGGCCACGGAACTGACCATTGCCAGTGTTATAAAAAAAGCTTCAGTACTACTTTATCTTCGTATTATTATTGTTCGAGTTACCAGAGTATGATACGGAAGTTATTTTTTGCTCTCTATGGGCTACTAAATACATCCGATAAGTATTCCAATTTTCCGGCACCATGGACGGTACGTCTTAAGTTAAATGTCGATGAATTCTCTAAATCATGAAGGGCGATCGTTTTACATTCCTTACAGATACCACATTCTTGTCACTGGTCATCTGCGCTATTGCTGCTAAAAGATTTTTCTATCGCCGGCTCTGTCGATCGCCAGCATATTAAGGGGTATATCATTCCAATAACGGCAGTCTTGGCACGTCGTTTAATTTCTAATCTGCAAATCTTCAAAATGTTCGATAATCATGGTTTCATGATAAGCGAGGTGTAGTGGGCTTTTTTAGACAGTTTCTTCGTAGACCAAAATACCATGTTGGCTGACTAAAGACTAACTTTCAATTTGGATATTCATCAGTAGTTATTACTTTATTACTGATATTAATATGTATTTTTGCAGACGTACACGTTTGGTCGCGCCGCTGAATTTATCGTTGATAAATTAAGGTTGCGAGCTTTACGAAACATTCTTCACCAAGATTCCGGTTATTTCGATATACCTGCACAAAGCCATGCAATGATGGTTACGAGGATATCGATTGATGCACCCAATATAAAACCAGTGAATTTTTTTCAGAATTAAAATTCTGATTATTAGAAAAAAAACCTGCAAATCAAAACTGCAATTTTTGCCTTTAATCTTTCTCATACTTGCGGCATTTTGTTCCAATTTTCTTTCAGGCTCTTGATTCTAGGATGATGCAGATCGTCAATAATTTCGCTTCCATAATTGTCTTAATTATTCTTGCAATAATTTTTTCTTGGCAAATCGGTCTATTAGGCTTTGCCATGTTTTGCGCACTTTGTTTAATGCAATATTTGATTGCAAATTTGATGCAAAAATATAATAAGCAAGCTATTAAAGAGGATTTAACAGGACAGGTATCTTTAAGGAATTTTTCTTCATCTACTGATTAAAATTCTTCGTTTTTTTAATTTTTTTTCTTTCAACAGCGCTTATTATATCTGATTTGGCTCCATTGATCACTGCATTTTCTTCTCAAAAAGTGGCTTGAAGAAATAAATGTGAAAATCATCATTTTCTTAAAATCATCGATAAAAGAGAATAGAAAATATCTCCATCTTATATATATATCTTGAAAAATCATCGGCCCATCTGAAATTGCATAATTGCATAACAATTAATTCTTCGAATTTTTGCAGCTTGCTATCGAAATTGTTGAGCAAGTACGAACAATTCAATTGTTAACAAGAGAAGAATATTTTCATATGCTCTACGATAAAAAATTAAGTGATGCTTTACGTCTTTATAAAAAGAGCACACCGTATGAAGCATTCCAATTTGCTGTCGTCTCGTCATTTTTGTATTTCGCAGATATGGCGTCCTACTGCCTTGGGATACCACTTATTTATTATGGTTATACTGAGCCAATAAGCACTTTCACGTATAAAAATTTTTTTTAAAGTTTTTTTTTGAACTGTGCTCATTAAATGTCTTTTGCTTTTAAATAATTTTTGGCCGATGATAAAATGCATTTCTTTAACCATTGCCTTATAAATATTTTAGAATTGTGCTTTAAGCAGCTTTTCGATTAGAGCTTCGTAAAGAATGCCATAAGGAATCATTTTGATAGGACAGAAAGCAAATTAAAACTAGTGACTTCAGTTTTTCACTAAAAAAAAACTCGTCATGATTACACATTGGTATCTTATTTAAGATCTGCTATATCAGTGGCTACAGGTGGTTGGGCCCTCATAATGGTCGCAGGCTGTTTGAACACATTTATTATGGCCTCATCGGCGTCAGATTCCATTTTTCGTATAATCAATGCTAAAAGTGTTATTGAAAATATCAATGAAAGAAGTTGTCCAGTAATGGCTCCAAGCATTTGCAGAATTACTTAATTTCACTGAATATCTCGATTAAATGAGTCTAATTATGCTTTTCAATGATCTCATATTGAATTAATCCTTTACAGAAAATCGATGGTGAAGTTCAATTCAAAAATGTTCGCTTTTCTTACCCAAGTCGACCCACATCACCAATTTTAAACGGTCTTTCGTTTACTGCACATAAAGTTAGTAATTAGAGTATTTCCTGTAAAGAAAATCATGAATTATGTTGTCTCGTATAAGAAAATACATTTAGAAAATAGAAAATTTTTAAATACATTACAGAAATGACCAATTGAAATGACCAATTGAAATGTTGCTTGAAGAAATTTATCGTGCTTAATTACTGAGGCTCACTATAAATTTCATTCATCTATCGTAAATATTTTATCATTAAATAAACAAACAAACAAAAGAGGAAAAAACAGAGTAACCTTTAATAAGTTCATCCAAGCGAATTCGTATAATTTTCCAGAATTCTTGAAAAACTTGACAAGATTAAAAAATCAAATCAATTATGCCAATAATCAACGAAAATTCTTTCTTAGGGTCAGTCTGTAGCAATCGTTGGACCTTCAGGCGGAGGTAAAAGCACAATTATTGCATTATTAGAAAGATTCTATAATTCTACCTCAGGCGAAATGGTAAGTTTCGTGTAAAATCTAGCTGCATAATTATTCTTGTTTACTTAACGAGATTTTTTTGTTTTGGTCTTTTTTAATTTTTTCAAAATTTGAAAAAAGTTAATAAATGATTTTAGAAAATCTTATGTAATTATATGTAAATTTTATATAATTGTAGCAAATAGATGGCCTAACTATCGATCAACTATCTCTAAGATATCTTAGAGACCAAATGGCTCTCGTTGGACAAGAACCTGTTCTTTTCAGTGGTACCATCGCTGAAAACATTCTTTTAGGAACAAGCGATAAAACAATGGATGATGTTCGTGAAGCATGCAAAATTGCCAATGCGCAGCATTTTATTGAGGCTTTACCGATGGTAATTTAATATTTCTTATTTTTTTTTCTTTAAGAGTTTTCACCATCACTGGTTAAAATCGCTTCGCTGGCTTTTTGAACAAATATGCCAGGGAATCCCTCCGTGGTAAAAACACAGAGTCGTCAGCATCATCCGGATTTTTTGACAGGTTTACTCCTGTGGGGAATAGGACATCAGCATAGGCGCTGAGTAACAACCCAGTGAGCCGTCCTATCCCCGATTTTTTATTCCATATTTATTCTTTTTGAGAATTTTTGTTAACGGTTGTTAACGGTTAATTTCAAAAATGAATTAGGCCTATGATACCGAAGTAGGAGAACGTGGTTCACAACTCTCAGGTGGCCAGAAACAACGAATAGCAATCGCTCGAGCACTGATTAGAAATCCTAAGATATTGCTGTTGGATGAAGCTACCAGTGCTCTGGATGCTGAAAGTGAAAAGGTTGCTTTATTGCTTGCTTAAATATCCGAAAAGGTAAAGTAAATATGAACTTAGTATTGTCAGGTAAAGATGGTCAAACAGTTGAACCAAAGCCAAATAACGTGGCTTTAATTCTTTTCGTTCGATAGAAGTAAACATTGAAAGTGGAATATTACTGAAGATGCACCTATATTTCTATCTCTTAGTGATTCTTAGGTGGTTCTTAGCTTCCATCTCAGCAGTTGGTAACACCAGTCATATTAGAAGCTGAAAGCTATTTCTGAATTTTTTTTGTTATATTAGTCGAATTTATGTTTCATTAACGATATAGACCTGAAATTTTCATTATTTTTGGAGTTCCTAACGGTAAAAATTTTAGGCCGTACAGGAAGGATTAGAAAACGCGAGTACTGGTCGAACTTGTTTAACTGTTGCTCATCGACTTTCATCTATACAGTTCGCAGATCGAATATTTTTTGTTGAAAATGGCAAAGTCATAGAAAGCGGTACTCACCAAGAGCTTATTGAATTTGACGGCAAATATGCCGACTTCATTCGTAAACAAGATTTCGGATCGTAAACCCATCCATTTTATATTAATAAAAAATGGATCAAACACAATAAATCTTTAATTTCTTTTTCATTTTTCAAAATTTTCCTTTCAATAGCGAAAAAGCGTAAGCGTAACGATTTTAAAGAAACCATTTACATAAAATTTATTATAATAAATTAGTTTTCTCACCTTTGAAAAATTGCACCCACATTTTCACGCTTCTGTTTCCGACCAGTAAGTTCAATTTTTCGGATTGCTTTGTCGGGTTTACTATTTGACCACTCTATTTTCTTACAAACTTTTACCGTACTCAGCCTTGATTTGGCGCCCGTAATCACTAATTTACTTCTTAGGAATGGCCAATCTATTTGACTGAAAATAGATATTATAGCAAATCCTTAATTCCTTTTTTAAATTTCTTGCTCACAATTTTTATGCGATTATTACAAGTGATTTAATAAATTGAAATTGCCATCTGCATATATATATCTTCATGAAAATCTGGAAAGAAATCTGGGAGAAAACTGCATTGTACAAAATTTATGCGACTCTTCCTCTTATTAGCTTCTCAGTTGTCGGATGACCACATATTTTCAGGCAAAATGACCACTTTGAATTATTAATGAACAAAATTTGTGAATTTACTTACGATAAGAAAGGAAATTTAGGAAATATAGGAGAAAATAAAATTGAAAATAAAAAATTTATGAAAATTTATGAAAATGAAAATTTATTATTTGGCCGAATTTATTATCATCGACATTTGGCGATTGTAATTTGGCATCGATGAAATAGTAGAAGCACGAAATTTTAATGGATTTATTAAATAACAATCTTCTGATCCATCATTGTTGCTTTGGCGGATTTTATTAGCAATTAGGATAAGATGTTCCCAAGCCTTCCGATCCGATGCTATGCCATAAATAAACCGATTACATTATCGATTGATTAAATCCATTAAAATTAATTAATTAATTAATTCTTTTCGCAAATTAATTCTTTTTCTGAATATCCTACATATTTGGGCTGCAGATGTCTCTTTGAAATCTCCCTTGAACATATCCATTTGGGGGTTCCAGTTGATCCTCCTCGCCTTTGATGATATCGATATGATGTGATATCGATCACAGGATTAAACAAATAGCGAGATAGTTCCTATTATGGACCACATCTCCATATCAAGTATGAACATGGTCCAACGATACTTTATGCTTATATTCTTAATTCAAATAGTAGTATTCGGACGAAGGTGGATGTGACCATGTGACATTCTGTTCATATGGTGAGAACATAAGATATATAATGATTCCTTAGCCAAATGATGATCAAAGAGACAAATAGCCCTATAGCTTTCTGATGGAGATAGTGTGGCTTAGTGGGTTGTTGTTCAATTCGGAGCGTCGATACTAAGGTTCTATTCGCACAGGAGTAAATCTGTTAAAAAATCCGGATGATGCTGACGATTCATCTCTGCTTCTATCACGAAGGGATTCCCTGGCATATTTGTCCAGTGTGACAAGCCAGCGGAGCGAGTTTAACTAGTAATGTTATCCGTCATGATTTTAATAACAGTTGTATTTGTATTACCAAAGGATGGAAATCGAGTTTATAAATTAATCAATCGAAGCAACCACACTTTATTCCTTATTTATAAAAATTTAAATTGTAAAAAATTTAACCAGTAATGGTGAAAACTTTTAAAGAAAAAAAAAATGGTCTTCTGATATCTTCTACCATATTTCGCAGCCACTGCATTGTGCATAAAACCAGGTGTTTGCGAATTTTTATTATAGGGCTGATATTGGGGTGATTTCAGAGAAGTTTAGCCAGATAAAAGAAGGATACTGTTTGGAATGTCATCTTTCTTTTAGGCATTATTGAGTATGAGAGTGGATTCGAAATATTTAAACCGTAACACCTAATATTTAATATTTAAATATTCTTGAACCATTGATAAACTTATGGAAATTGAGACATCAACATCAACATTGCTTTTAAGACCTTTTCGCTGCTATTGTCAACGCCCGGTCTAGCCCCGTCTGTTGCAGTCTTTCGTTAGCTGTAAGCATCAGATGTATGTAAGGTTGTGTGCTCTTAATTGATTTTTTATATCTCTTGTGCTGAATGCTAACAAGCAGTGCTGCATGGAAGAGAACGCAGTCTTGATGCACATAGGTATAAATTTCAAAATATTGTATCAATTTCCCAGCCATCTACACCTGCGCTGACGAAAGTGGAAAATAATCAAGTATGATCATTAGCAACAATTTATACTTCTCTAAAGACAAAGGCGTTTTTTGAAAACCTTCCATAATTTTCTAAAAAACTTGCTGTTGATCACATTCCATGTACTACCCCACAAAATACATTATCAAGGCAGAATCATCCTGTTTCATTCAAAACCATTAGGTCCATTAAAAAGAGTATCGCAAATTTTTTTGCATATGGAGTTTAAAGCACCAAAACATAGATGAAAACGAACTGGAATTTACTAAGTCTTTTAGTTACGAAGTCGTTTTTGATGTTTTCCTTCGAGATCTCGTGATTATTAACATAAAACGTGCTTCATTCTATTCATTCTTAAATTTAATATTTCATAAGCTAATAGCCGCTTATTTGTTGTTCGAAGGAGTTTACTTATCAGTTTTTACAAAAATTTTTTAAATTTTAGCTGACAATTTTTAAATATGCGGAGCTTTTGGTAATAGTGTATTCTTATATTACCACTGCCGTTAGAATATCACAAAGTTATTTACTTCTCTCGAACTTTACAAAATACTTTATTCTTCGAATCAACAATTGTAGATGTTTATATATATGAAAATAATGCATAAAAATGCATTTTTTGGACACAACTCGAGAGAAATGATACAAAAATAAACGATTCTAATCGATCTAAGAGCAATATTTCAATAAAGAAAGTTATAGAAATTAATTTTCTTAAAAGTTATAACTTTTTTCTCAAAAATTTTTAAGGAAAATTTGATGAAATGATGGCATTTACATGAAAATAAACCTATTTTTGGTATTCTTAGAAAATTTTCAAAAAATAATATTTTGAAGAAATCATATAACGATTTTGGCAAAATTTTTTTATTCAATATGGAGAGGAAAACTCATTGAATAACGATGAACGCAAAGAATTTGATTCAGCTGACTAATGCGATTAAATGTTGTAAATGTTTTTGTGCCATAATTATTATAATTATTGTATTACATGGCACTCTATAACATTCTATTTTATTAGAGATGTAGTAAAATAATGGCTAAGCAATTATAAAAAATTTGAAAAAGAGTAGAGTATAAAGAGTATCAGAAGAGCGTAAAAAAATTCATTATAAAAGAGCTTTAAGAAAGCAATAACCACCGTTAACATCGAAATTATTTCATATACTTAAAAGATAAATAAGTTATAAGATAAGATAAATATGTCTATAAATATATCTTATAAAAACTTATAAGATAAATAAATATAAATTTTCAAATAAAGGAAAAAATTAAAATCTTATTTTATTTTTAACTAGCAAAAAGACCGGTCTTGCGAACATGCAGAACTCTCTCGCGAGTTTACCCCATGGCGTCCTCTCGAAATTCGTTATATTCCCTTAATAACTAATAGCAAAATCGTTAATCATTGCAAATAGAAATATCTATCATTTGTTAAAAGCCATTAAAGCCAGTGATAATTTTATATTAAAGCAAATATTTGAGAATACAATAATATTCAATACTTTAAATGTATAAAAAATGCCTAAAAAAAATGTAAGAGAAACTTTACGGGATGAAATCTTTTATATAGTATAGTTACCTCATCAATTTTATCCACAAATCAATTTGGTATCACATTTTTAAAAAATCCCAAAAATGTGCGAAGATCGATAAATGTCATCGTGCATATCTAATTATTAATAGCATATCTTATAATATTCAAAAATTTTGGAAAAAAACGTTACAGGAATCCACCATCTTTGATGAAAATTTCAAAAAAAGCAATGCATCTGATTTTAATCACTTTGACAAGTACAGTGAAAAAAAAAAATTCTCTTTTCTAAACTTCAAATCGGCGTTTCTATTCACCTTCGACGCTGTCATCGAATAACAAAAACTTTAATAATCGAACCGAGATACCAAATGTGCACTGGTGTGAAGATTGGCCTCGGGCAACAGCAAAATAATTGACTAAGCAATAAATTCTGAAAATAATATTAGTGGACTTTACTCATTTCATAAATTAGGATAATAGAATTAGATGACTGTGGCGTTTTCAGTCTTGATTACTTCTACTTTTTTGTTATTCAGCAAATGGATGAAAAAGATTTTTTTTCTTCAGATAAATTGGATTCGGTTATAATTTCGTTTAATTTCATATAACCATTCTTTCATTCTGTGTCGAAATTCAAAAAATATATTAATTAATAAGTGGTTAACAGTCATCATTTCTGGCAGAGGTCCATTGCTGGAAGTGCGGCGGAACATTTTTGCCAGAGAATCAGTTGGTGATAGAAGGTAGCATAAATCGTTTAATGACAGGTTTATACGTGCAGGAAGCAACAATCAAATGTTTCTCTTAAGATGATAATCTCAGCAACGACCACTCAGCTATCGTTCCTCCGTTAATTATCTTTAATTGCTAGTTCTCACAATAAGATCACTAATATTATTACTGAATCACTATTACTGAAATATTAAAAATAACCAGTGAAAAATACTTCTTTTAAATACTTTTTTTTAAAGAAAATTTAAAATATAAAAATATTTGTTTAATATTTAGGAGAAAGTATATTATAGGAAATTCATATCGCTACTGATAAATGAAAAATTTCGAAGATTCATCTAGAAATCTCATTTGTTTACAGTTCTCCATCTCTTTTTAACACCACCTCACAATCTCCGCTTTACTGATTCTACTAGCTGTTAGAATAAAACCCTTCACCAGTGAATTAATTCATAAGTGAGAAAACACCGTCAAGATTTTAATAACAGTTGTATTTGTATTACCAAAGGATGGAAATCGAGTTTACAAATTAATTAATCGAAGCAACCACACTTTATTCCTTATTTATAAAAATTAAAATTTAAATTGTTTAATAAATAAATAAGGGATCGTAATGCATAAATAAGGAACCATATCTTTATTTTTATAATTATGCGAATAAGTTTTCTAACATCTGTCACCATTACTGGTTAGGCTCAGCTGATTCTAACTTTCAAAGATTTTCAAGCTGTTTGATCCGATACCATGGCTGATAGTTATTCACAAGCCATTCCTTATTCCACTGTCTAAGCCCATATATCGCTCGTCCACCTATATTTTCAATATTTTTCTTGATCCTGACTGTATCAGTTTAGATTTTGATTAGCCCGCTTCATTTTTGATGCTATTCATCACAGGCTCTAGCGAAATATATGTCAACTCCTGTGGTGGATAATAAAAAACGTGTAATAATCAGTAAAGGCGACGCTTTGTGATGGTACTGTTAATGCAAGTGGTATTTGACAGAAGATGGATGCATGTGATTTCATGTGATTTTATCCGCTTAGCGAACGTAAAATGTATATATCTTAGACATGAGTGATCAAAATAGGTAACTTCTTAATATCTTTCATTCTCATTGGTCATATCTCACAACCATATAAAAAAATCAAGGCAATTGCAACCACATGGATTTTGGTCTTTTACGCGGACTTTCGCCTTCACGACGTTTCCATAAAGATTTCGTCAACTGGAAGAATGTATCTCTAGCTACGCGGGCTGTAATTTTATTTTTTATCCACCAAATTGGGATTAAAATGGGTCCACGTTTAAAATCATGCACTTCCTCAACCACGTATGAATTGATGAAAACAGATCTAGATCTTATCAGCTATATATGAGATATATAAGAACGAAAGATTTTAATTTCATTTATATTGATCATGAGTTCGATCCTCGATGCAATGCGAACACGTTATTTAGCGTTATTTGCATTTCCTCATGACTGTCAAAATCATCTTTATCGGAATTTTATTTGCCATAAACTTTTCGATGAGAGATTGTTTCCCGTTCTGCTGGCTGTCTACAGTTGCAAACATACAGTTCGACGATTTGATTTAGTTATACCAACAGATTGCGCGCATCATGGTTAAGTTTGGTCTCAAAGAATTCTTTCTACCTTACAAGCAAATTTTAGTAACCTTAACAGGCGTATCATTATTATCTCGTTTTTAACAATTCCTCAGTTTTAGCAGTTGCTTTATGAAAAAGATGAAATATTTTCATATTATTGACTAATCGAGCCACCATCTCCATTTTCAAGGCTATATCGCTCCAATAGCGATTTCTGTCCTGCTGCGCTGCTATTTAATTCTTTGAAACATCTGATAGTTAGAATCTTTCATCTGATAGTTAAAATCTCCTGGCATTCGTGCTTAGTCATTTCAGAGAGTTAAAAATTTGCTTCCGATAACTAACGTACTTCCTACTAACATATATTAGCGTGGAAATGCCTGATTTTCGGAATATTCCTTTAGTTGCAACAAGTATTCATCTGCCGTTTCAGAAAAATTGTTAATATTTATATTATTGAGGTGTCAATAATTCCATTTGAATTGCGCTTACTATTCACAAATCTTTTAGTTTGAGATAGCTGAAAAATCTTGGGAGCTGCTATTTCTTGAGAATTGTCAATTTTATGCGGCTCGAACTATAGCATAGTCAGATCCATGGAGGTTACCATTTTCGCTACCACTACATAGCAACAATTACCTAATACGAAACTCTTCCAACGGCGACTGACCAGGATATAAACAATCTGGTTGAGGTGTTGGTTACCCACGTAATTTCACATAACTAGATGTGTTCTTCGATGCCAAATTCATATCAGCGAAAAAAGTTCATGTACTTTGTTGTATTACTTCGTTTTCTTAATAGCAAGTAATAAAGCGAAATTCAGAATTCAGGCAGCGGTGAAGATCTAACATAAACTTTCATCTGCAGGTGATTCACTGGCAAAATGCTCTCATCTTATTTGCGCTAGCAATAACAGAAAGAAATGAGAAGAGAAAGAAATGATTATCAGTTTATCAGCTCCTCCAATTGCTAATCTACTAAATTTTATAACAAATCGAGTCATTGATTTATTCGAAAATGAATGAATTATTAAAATAATTTTAGTTTCAAAGGTGAGGAATCTAAAAATATTTACCAATTGAAATAAATTGAAATGATTAAATTATAAAAAAAGAAGCGAAACTTGAGAAAACTAAAGCAGGAAATTTTGAGTTCAATGAAACTGGTTTCATTGAAAGAATAATACTTATATTCCTTCATTGCGGAGCTTCCCTTAAATAGATAAAATCTTGTTTTGAAGAGAATAAGCCGAATGATTACAATATCCTTGTCATTAAAGATGGATGATGAGACAAGATAAAAGATAAAAACGCAGCACATCTAGCATCAGCCTCTCTCTCTCTTATAACGATTTCTAAAAAAGTTCATGCAAATTAATTGAAAAATGGATTATCGAATCATCGTAAATGAAGAGATTTTTCCATGAAACTTATTACGTAATATTATTTTACCTTTCTGATTTGTCGTCAATAAAACACATTGTTCTGCGACGAACTTTAGCGATTCTATCAAATTCCTCTCGATAACAATTTATGCAGTACTTTTTCTTACACAAACTGTAAAAATCTTTTGTTGATGTTTGACGAAAACATGAAGTTCCTAAAGACCGAAAGCAATGTACATGATAATTTTCAAAAAATGATTAATAGTAATCTATCCTAAAAAAGATAAATTGTTAGTAAAAATATGAAATTAGTAGCAGTGAAAAATTTAATTTAAGAGCTACTGGCTACAATTTTACAATAAGAAGGAGGAATTTTTATAAATGAGAAAAAATTTATTCATTTATTCATTCATTTTTTATTATTATATATATTATAAATCTATTCATATATTATAAACTTATTCATTTTATAAAATTCAAAATTGCTGGAATATGAAAGATTATTTATTCAATAGTTTACAAATAGTATCAAAATTATTCTTCAATTTTCCGTAAAAAACTGATTAAAAAATATTGTGCTGAAATTCGAATAAACAGGCGAAATAACTGCGGATATTTCGAATAGATGGGCCTAAAATGGGCCAAAGTTAATTGAAAACTTACAAAAAACTTACAAAAAAAAGAGATATCCAAGTCCACAGCATAAATATGTTCCAAAGCATACAAATAGCCCCGCTGCCGTGAACTGTTTCACCACAGCCTAAACTCCACATATCCGCTTATTATTTAATGGTTCATATAAATCGCTTTACAGGACTGCTATGCGATTTTTTACACGCTACGCTATTAACATAAATGAGCTTTCGATTAACATTGATGAATCAACCCATTTATTTTTTCAATCACTCGAAATAGACCGTTTGTAGGAAAAAGCACCAACATTCGTTTCACATTTTCCACATTTCGATAAACCACTTCCAAATAACCAGCAACACATTTAAAAAACAACCACGCAATAGGAAAAAAATGGCATAATGAATTTTTTGAAATTTCGAAAAAAATTGTCGCAATCACTTGTTTAATCATGACTTTAACGTCATAAAACTCAAAAAGAGTTCGTTAGTTGAAATTCTGAAAATGGAAAATAGCATATCAATCCGTTTATTTCATTTATTTTGGCATTTTTTTAGACCCTTCAGTGATCACACATTACTATTGTTCACTATTCAACGTGCAACGACAAGTTTATATATAAAGTTCATCTTTCTTTTTCTTTTGTTCGAGATCTACTAAAATTTCATTTTGCTCAATTCCAGGAATGCGAGATCAATTGCTTGGATAAGTAAATTAGTGGAGACAAGATGCATGGCAAAATGAAACAATGGGACAATTAAAATATTCCTCTCTAATTTTAAGAAATTTTAAAGTTTTTTGAATGGCAACCTTAACACAATCCAATTAAACTTAAGCACTATTACGTGATTTGACTTTTGGCTGCCTAATCAAATTTATATATGAAAAAAACTTTACAAAAATTTTAAAAACAAACCAAAATATTCTAATTGATAGTCAAATCATCGAAAAAAGTTTAAATGACTAATAAATATAAAAAATAGAAAGCATCAAGCAAACAACAACTAAGTTACAAAAAAATAAAGCAATAAATTATGTTTCTACAAACATTATATATGAAATAAAACGAACTGAACAGTATCATTTCTTCCTGCAAATTTCTTTTCATATTTAAAATAAAAATCTTAAAAAACAGCGAATGTCCCTATTTCGTCAGAAGTCCTAGATTTTGCGCTTCTTCTTCAGCCCACTTTATTATAGATTTTTGATTTTCCAATGGTGAATCGTCTTCTTCTCCATGAAGTGCATCAATTATAAACGATCCTGAGAATTTTAAACGATTAAAACGAGTAATGTATTAACATATTACCAAATGTTTTGTGAATATAACAATTTGAAAAAAATAAACAAACTATGCGTGTTCAGAGATTCAAATTCATCGCCAGATGTATCACCGTCGGAGCTGACATTTATATCTAAAATTTATATAGTTATTTACCGAAAAATTCATTTTTCAAGTCAAAATCAAAATCTATTGCATATAATTCCGCTACAATAAAAAGAAATTAATAAAATGCCGCGGACTGCGGATTAGTTAATTAGTTTGGCTGGTAAGATCAAATTTTTATCTAAAATTCCACTTGACCATTAATTCATGATTTATTCAAAATAATTTGTCATATACTTCTTTTATATGATTAATCTTTAGTTTGAATATTTAAAACCATATCTTCGTATGTTGCATAATCGCTATTTTATGCGAAGATGAGACTCAAGCGGCCCATTATTATTATTAAAATTAATTGGGATGATTTATTTATTTTTGTTTTTACTATTAATAATAATATCATAAATAATGACATGTTATAATTATCATTATTATTGTTATTATTAATTTATACACGGTTCGAAATTTATTTTAAACTCGTTATAATTTTATAAACCCTATTATTTCATATTATTTAATTATCTGAGCTGCGAAATTGTGTATAATACTGTCAAGGCTTCTATGTCTTTTGTTTTGTTAAAGCATTCTGCCTTTCAATGGCCTTAACGCAGAATTATCAAAGAAAGAAATGTGATAGAATTCAATAAAGGACATGAAGATTTGGGATTAAAAACCAGAAAGAAACTCAATATACTCAGTTCTTTAGATAAATAATAGAAGCAGTTAAAACGAAAGTTGTTTTAAGAAAATTTAAAAGCTTATTTCACCAAGCAAACGAGAAGCACTGGACAGCATGCTTCGAGCGGTAGCGGTACTTGAAAGACTGCTATAATCACTCAAATCAAGCACAACCCGACTATCTCGCATTTTTAGCAAAGATGAATTGCAAATCGTCCCACCGATAACGATAGTTGTTGCCCGCAGATCATCCTGAAATATAATATGGTAGTCTTTTCAATTCATAGCGTTAAGATAACTAAGAAATTATGGCTAAGGAAAAAAGGAAAAATCATAATTCTAGAAAACTACTTTGTAATTTGGATCCTTCGCAATCGGAAAAGAATTTACCAACACTTGGATGGCTTCTTCGGTTACCTGAAAAAAAAGAAAACATCGCTGCTTATGCAAATCGCTGCTTAAACAAATAAATTCAATATGAAGAAGGAAAATCATAAAAGCATATCTCTATATGAGAAAAAATTTATCAATTATTTTAACTGTTTTAGCTTTGGTGAAACGAATCACTAATATCGAAATGTTTCCTATAAAAGAAAAAGTTTGAAAAATATCTTTAAAATATCTGATGTAACCATTTTGATAACATGGAATAAATTAATCAATCCTACGAACATATACCAAAATTGGAACAATTTACAAAGCATGGCTCCGATAAAAAATTCGTGAAAATTCCAAAATTTTTGTTTGAAAGGTTTAAATTTTTTTTGCTGAGTCATTTTAACAAAGCATTCTTAATTTATTTGTGATTTCTGATAATAATTCAGCTAAATTCTCTTAAATTTTCTTTCGAACAAAAAATTAATTATTTGTTAAATCAAATTATATACCTTTTAAATATATATATATTTATATATATAGCAAATTTTTTCATTATTTTCTAATTTGTTTTTCATCCTTCCTTAAATTTTTTCCTTTTTTTTGCCTTTGTCTTTGACAGGAGAAAAACCTGTAATGATAATAAAAATCCGAGTGGTTGTTGAAGACCCACATGCAACTATATTTCCAAGTGATTCTATGATGAAAGAGTCATGCACGAAGTTTAGATCTTCTTAACATGGCATCCGATGTCCATGATATTCCCAACCCTGTGGTAGATAAGATAAGTATGGAATCCGAGCGTAATCAAACAACCTCAAGGTTTGAGGATATGATCTGCTCGTGGACCAGAATAATTGTTCGAAATCTGTCAAGGAAAACGACTCTCTGCGAGGGGACATGTTAGCCGTATCATATTTGAAAAAACCCGGTCGGCTTTGATTGAGTGGAAGCTGCCAAATCGCATGGCCTCATCCCATGGTTCTTTTCAAAGGAAAGTTCTGCAATATTTCGGTCAGAGTATATGTTCCAAATTCAAGCGCAGATGGGCACTATAAGAATAAATTCTATGTGGAACTTCAATTTTTAACAACACCTTTAACGAAAAGTCATAATAGTCATAAATGGAGGAGAATTAAATGCATGCATAAGTCAAGATGTCGCCACGATAAACTTGTTAATTGGCAAATACAGAATGCGCCAATGGAAACGCCTTCTTTGCTTTGCCGAAGAGTATTTGACAAACAGCGGCAGGAACGGCAAATGAATACATATAATAATAAGTATATGATGATATATGATAATAATATAATAATATACTGATCACAATTAAAAGAATGTTTCCATTTCCACACTAATCGGAAGCAAATGTTTCAGCTTTCTGAAATGGTTGCCAAAGCACGAATGTTAGAAGATCCTGACTATCAGATGTTTTGAAGAATTAGACAACAGCACGGCTCGACAGAAATCGCTATTGGAGCGATATAGCCTTGAAAATGGAGATTGCGGCTCGATTAGGCGATAATAGGAAAATACTTCATCATCTTCATAAAGCAACTGCTATAACTGAGGGAACAGTCAGATACAAGATAGATACAAGGTGTACTAGTTAAGGCTATTAAGGATCGCTTGTAAGGTAGAAGGAATCCTTTGAGGCCAAACTTAACCACGATGTGTCAACCTGGACGTATCGCTGAATCGCTCTTCCAGCCATATTCTAACTGCGAAACGCCAACAGAAGAGAAAATAATCTCTAACATTTAGAAACTTAAGGTTAATAAAACCTCTGGAGAAGATTATCTTCGGGCTAAACTCTTCACATTATATTATGTTGGTCATAGTCATATTATACCTTCAGCAAATGTACTCACGGCTATGGAAGAAAGAAACAATACCAGATTACTGGAGCAAAGGAAATTCTATTCTCAATTCCTAAGAAAGGTGACAATACTGCAACTGCGACAATTATCGAGGAATCGACCTATAGGATATCCTTGGAAAAATCGTTTCGCTCTTACTAAATGGATTTATGCAGTACAACAATGCAGGTTGTGCTCCAATCAAGCCAGATTCAGATCGGGACGCGTGCTTAGCTGATAAGAAAAGTACCTAAATAATAACTCAATAATATCTAAACTCGCTTAAAATATCAGCAACCACATGTTTTACCGATTTTCAGTTCATAGAATAGCACTTTGGACGATGATGGAATATGATGGTGTTCCAGAAAAAATCATTCCACTCATAAAGGCATTTTTCAATATCAATGTATATTGGCACAGATCTGTGGGGAACTGACAGAAATACAATCTGGTGTCCATCGAGACTGCTTTTCCCTACGATATTCAACTGTACGATAGACTGGATAATGGATATAGCTTTCCGGCACTAAAGAGATACAAATCAATCCAGAGTATAATATAATAGACTTTGAATACGCTGATGTAGTCGTTTCTGTTGACAATTATGATATACATATAATACTAAATATGTCGACAACTGCGGTAAATCGGGATTAATATAAATAAAATCAATATAAATATATATAAATTTGTCTAGGAGCCTTATAAACAAAAAGCTGATATATCTATTTTAGTCAATTCAATTGCCGGTTAAGGAAGTTCTAGAACAAATATCTCAGGCCCACTCTAATCCTAGCTGGCCAAACGAAAGACAAAATTACAATCGAAGATGGCGTCGAATCGAACAGTTTGGAGATGTCTTATCATTGTAGCTAATTGAGCCAGCTTAACCAGTGATGATGAGAGTTATTAGAAAAAGAATAAATAAATCAATCAGTAAAAAAAAAAAAAACCAGCAAACATCCGCTTAAATCAAGATATTCTAATAATTTTAGTTGCGAGAGTGAGCAAACACCATCATTCCCCAAATACGTACAGCTACGACATCGCAAAGAACGCAGCTTTACACAGCTTATAGCTATTTTTGATAATACTTTGTTCGTAACACCCGCCAAAGAACTGACATCAAGCTAAAAATATTCACACTCATGTAAAAATGATCAAATTAAATTTTTTTAATATGTGAAGAAATTTTTTTACCTTACTTTTATATTTTTTTTTGTTTATATATTTTTACCATAAAATGAATTTGAAAAATACATATTTCTATAAACAATTAATTGTCAAAATTTGTATAAATAATTTTAAGAAGAAATATATCGGATGAAATCGGATGAAATTATAAATGAAGAAAATTTTTATTTTAAAATTATTTAAAACATAAGGCGAACTGAGGTAAACAAACAAGATAAAGTAAAAAAATGGAGCAGGAGAGATAAAAAATCAAAAAAAGATTTTAAAAATTTATAAATAACTTACTCGTTCTAAATTTACCAACAGTGATATAAGAATTAAAGCATCCTCAGTTAAACTTGTATCGGAACCAGCATATGCTATACTCAAACTTCGTAATCCGATTACGCCACTAATTAATGCTTCCAGTGTTTCATTCGTTAACAGTGGGTTATAATTAAGTCTAATAAAAAATCAAATAAAAATTTTAAATGACTATTAAGTTACTACTGAGAAACGAAAAATTTCTGACATAAATCTCTTTTTCAGCTTTTTTATTAAATAAAAATCTAAATGCTAAGTGGATTAAATGATTTTATATGAAATGACTTACGATAATTCAGTGAGATATTCAAGCCTGGTGAGAGTCATGAGACCAGTTGTTGTGAGAGAATCAAAGCAACTACCGGAAAGCGAAAATGAATGTAATTCGATCATATTCCTAGTTATCAAACTAAAAATGAAAATCAAAAGAGATACTGATGATGCTCAAAAAATATGGTATAAAAATACAAAAAACGAAAAAATATTGAGCAGAATTAATAAATATAATAAATATAATTTATTAATAAATTGTTTCATTCGTTAACAGTGGGTTATAATTAAGTCTAATAAAAAATCAAATAAAAATTTTTAAATGACTATTAAGTTACTACTGAGAAACGAAAAATTTCTGACATAAATCTCTTTTTCAGCTTTTTTATTAAATAAAAATCTAAATGCTAAGTGGATTAAATGATTTTATATGAAATGACTTACGATAATTCAGTGAGATATTCAAGCCTGGTGAGAGTCATGAGACCAGTTGTTGTGAGAGAATCAAAGCAACTACCGGAAAGCGAAAATGAATGTAATTCGATCATATTCCTAGTTATCAAACTAAAAATGAAAATCAAAAGAGATACTGATGATGCTCAAAAAATATGGTATAAAAATACAAAAAACGAAAAAATATTGAGCAGAATTAATAAATATAATAAATATAATTTATTAATAAATATTAATAAATTAATATGCTAAATGTTTTCAAAAGTTTTGACACATAAAAAAAATTAAGACAATGAGA